CCAAGAAAACAAGCAGATTCATCCTGGAGAGGATTAAACCAAGCTACTCCTTGGAAGCAAGGATGCTGGGGCTTCGTCTGATACATTTTGGACATGTAAGGAGAGACAGGTCCTTGGAGAGGGACATCATGCTTGGGAGGGTGGAGGGACAGCACAGGAGGGGAAGACCCTCTAGGAGGTGGACTGATTCAGTGACTGGCGTAATCGGGATGGGTGTGTCAGAGGCAATGAGATTGGCACAGGATAGAGCACTGTTTAGGGCTGTTATACATAGGATCGCTATGAGTCGCAAACAACTCGATGGCACATAACAACAACAACATTCACAATAGCCAGAACATGGAAACAGCCCAAATGCTCATGAACAAATGGGTAGAGAAACTGGTATATCCACATGATGTAATCCTACACAGCACTCCGGAGAAATTATTTTAAAAAAATACTATATAACATGGGAAAGGTTGGGGAGTATTAATGCTGAGTGAACTAACTCAGTCTCACAAAGACAAATAATGCATAAGATTGTAATAATATTGTAAAAATAGAAGGATAACTAGTAGTAAAATGTGCATTAAAGCCCAAAGAGGGAAAGGGAAGGAGGGAGGGGAACTAAGGGTGGAGAAGGGGGAAGACACGGGGTCAAAGAGTTTGGTGGGCAGAGGGAGGAAAGGGGTAAAGGAATCAGGTAAGATCCAGCAGGCATCTGAAAAGACGGAGGTCAAGGTAGGCATAAATCAATGGTGATTCTTTTTATAAGACACAATGTATGGGCATGATTATATGAAATACAAGGTGAATGAAGAACTAACACTAATCTAAAAAACAAAAAAAAAATGCAAGCTATCCTGAGGGGACAAACGTGGATAGTTTTCCACAGCCGTTTGAACTCACTAAGGTTCCCCCTAGGAGAAAGATAAGACAGAGCAAGTGCTCCTGGAAAGAGCACAGTACACGGCGCCTGTGGGCATGCTTGAGTTTTCTACATTTACATCAATTTAGATATTCTAGAAGGTCCCTAAACAAAAACTAACCAAGATGATCGCAGCAGAACCCCCACTGGTATCACCTTGATTCTGCCTCCTGGCAACCGCTGACCAGATCGCTGTGGTTCCTAACGGGAGCAGAATGCCTACTGGTCACCAAAGGAAGGGCTGGTGGGTTTGAACTGCTAACTAACCCTTTGGTTAGCCATCTAATATCTGTCCTACTATTCTCCTGTCATTGCTGTTGGGTGCCTTCAAGTTAAGTCTTATTCAGAGCAACCCTGTGCACAACAGACAGCCCTGCCCGACCCTGTGACACCCTCACAATCTGCTGAGCTTCAAGGCCATTGATGCAGTCGCTGTGTCACTCACTGTCCTAGAGGGCCGTCCTCTCTTTTTCTGACCGTAGCTTGATGATGTTTTCCAAGGACAGGCCGCTCATGCCCACAGGGCCAAGTCTCACTATCTTTGTTGCTAAAGAACATTCTGGCTGCCCTTCTATCAAGACAGGTCTGTTTGTGCCTGTGGCAGCCTGTGGCACACTTAAAATCACAAACAGCACAATCCAAAAGCATCAGTTATTCTTTGGTCTTCCAAAGAATGCGGTCCAGGTTTTGAATGTATGAGGGGACTGAAAAGAACCATGGCCTGCATCTGGTGCACCCTAGTCCTCAAAGTTCTCTCTGCCATTTAAACACTTTCCCTCTTTTTTTCATTCATTATAATACTTTAAAGAGGTCCTTTACAGCAGATTTTCACAGTGCAGTGCACCCTTTAGAAACTCTCTAGCTTAATGCTTATTTATTCATCTTCACGTGCATATATATCGTACGTGGGGATCTGTAGAGATTAATGTCGAACTTACTCTCTTGATAGCTCATAAAACTTTGATTTAGGAGACAAATAAGAAATGGCAACATTGCAGACGTACATTGTAGGCCCACTGGGCCATCCAGCCTGCGGCATGGTGAAGCTGTGGTGAAACGGAGTCCCTGGTTTGGGTAGCATGGCAAATGGAGTCACACAACCGTGGTTGATGAGCGCAGTTATCTGAACTGGATTTTTATCTTTTTTCCTTTTCAGAATTTACAGAAGTGATTTCCACTTTGCCTTTCTGTTTAGGCCAGCCAACCTGCATTGAATTATAAGATGTTTTACAGAAAATTTTGACTTTTAACACAATGACAGTGCACCTGGATTGGAGTGGTGTGGAAATACCCAGCAGGTTCGACCACTCGCTGTTACAAACATGGGACAAAATAATGTATCTTATGGTTTTCTAAGCTGTATTAAAAACAGACAAAACAAAAAGCACTACTGTGTCGGTTCAGATTCCTAACAGCTCAGAGGAACTGCCCTATACCATTTCCAGGCTGTAATCTTACCAATTTTACAATCTTAAAAAACAATTTAAACAAGTTAAAAATCCTAAAAATTGTAAAAACGGGTTTGGAGAAACATACCAACATTTTGCATAGAAGCCAACGCTTAAAGCCCTGGGACACCAGCCTTATTTAGTACATTGGGTCCCTGGGTAATGTAAACGCTTAATGCACTTGACTGCTAACCGAGAGGTGGGCATTTGAGTCCCTTCCCCCCATCCCCAGAGGTATCTCGGAAAAAAGGCCTGGCGATAAACTACTAAGACATTACGCACTGGAAAATCCTGTACAGAAGTTCCACTCTGACCCAAATGGGGTCGTCAAGAGCAGGTGTCAACGTGCCGGTAACTGGTTTTCACTTAGCATCTGTTTTCAGCTTTTCTTCACATGAGCGGCAGCACGTCAAGCCTTGCCGAGCTGTCACCGGCGTCACTGCACACGTGCTCTTCCGTCGTCTCCTGGGTAGCTGAGTAACACGCCTGCCCCTTTGCCCACCTTTCAGATCCCTCAGCCCCACCAGCTCCGGCCCATCTCCGGCTTGCAAACTCCACCATCAACAGTGACGGAAGCGTGACCGTGACGGTGGTCTGGGACCTCCCAGAGGAACCGGACATCCCAGTGCATCACTACAAGGTGTTCTGGAGCTGGACGGTCGGCAGCAAGTCCCTTGTTCCTACCAAGAAGAAGCGGAGAAAGACTGCAGACGGGGTGAGTGGGACCCTGGAGGAGCCGCAGAGCGGGGCGGTGAATCTCTGGAAATGCCCTGATCTTGGCAGAGATCCAGGGATAAGGTTGGCTTGCATGAGGAGGTTTGGAGAATGGGGATCCTGTCCACGGTTGAACCTTGGTCTTGACCTGTTGTGATTACTTGTCACCTTGTCGACTGTGGCACACAATGACCGTGTGTGCAAGTAGTAAACCCTCCCCCCTTGGAGGTTTCAGGGCTGTGGTCGCTCCAAAGCTGATCAGCAGGTCTGTGTTCTGAGACACTGAGATAGCGCTGAAGGATGAAGGGTTATGCCCGCACACGTGCTGCCTTGCAGAGCTCCCCCATGACGGGAAAGACAGGCCCCTGGCCCCTCACAGTGTCCCATCTGCAGTCTGATTAGTGCGTCCCCAGCTCCCCCATGATGGGAAAGCCAGGCCCCCGGCCCCTTTCACTTGTCCCATCTGCAGTCTGATCAGCGGCCCCCAGCTCGGCCTGCGCATGCTCTCCTCCTCACCGCCTCCATCAGCCATATCTCTGGAAACCAACACCCTGACCATTGGTGAGAAACACTGGAGGACGATGCCATCGACAAGTGATGAGCTGTGTGCAGTCCGTCCTACTAATGAAGGGATGTACAGAACACTGTTTTCATCACAAGAATTTCAATTCTTTCTTTCCTTAGATGACAGAAAATAGTGTGTGTCGAACCACCTTCTATTATGAGATTCCTATGATAGTGGACATGCCATGGATGCAGTCACTGTGTCAGTCTGTCTTGTTGAGGGTCTTCCTCTCTTATGCTGACCCTCCACCTTTCCCAGCACAATGTCTTTTTCCCAGCAGGGCCCCCAACCCCGCAGCACCATCCTTGCCTCCAAGGAGTATCCTGCTTGCACTTGGTTAACCACTCTGCCACCAAGGCTCATTGAAATCTGCAGACCCACAGTGCTGTAAGGTCAAAACCAACTTGCAGCTGAGCCGTCAGCGGGTTTCCAAGTGTGCAGATCACAGGGGATGAGCTTGCCCATCTTTCTCCTTCGGAGTCACTCGTGGGCGCAAACCCGAGCAGCATGGGCTTTGGGCCAGTGACAACCCCCTAGGATGTGCTCCCTGAAGTATGGAGAGGGGCGTGGAAGTGGACGTTTCCAGGGGGCCTGAGACAGTCCCTCTGTTTGACTAAGAGTGCAGGTAGCTAAAACAATTTCTGAGCTTTTTGATGAAGTCCTTTTTCAAATCACTAAGGCAGGACAGCCTTCCTGGTCTGGAACGTTTGTGGACACACAGGCTGAAGGAGCTGACAGGCCCCACGGAGTTGCGTGCATTTCTGCAGCCCAGGTGAATGCTGTGGAAGGTCCCTAGACCTCAGATGTGTCCCTTTCCTCGCAGGCCCTCAATGCTGCGACCCTGGAACACCTGCAGCCCGGCAGCAGCTATCTGGTGGAACTGCAGGCCGTGTCGTACTGGGGGCAGACTCGCCTCAAAAGCCCCAAGGCATCCCTTCACTTCACCTCCATACAAACCAACAGTAAGTGGTCCTATAGCCTCTCTCCAGCAGGTTGGGTGTCATCGACGACCACATTGCGTGGGACACACCAGTAGTGTTTCCTAGGCTGCCATCTATCCTCCAGGGTTCTATCCTATGGAGCCACTAGGTGGGTTCAAAGTGCTGGCCCTTTTGTTAGGAGCCAAACACTTAATCCATGCACCACTAGGGCTCCTTCTCTTTGTCCTAGAAAGCACCACAGAGTGACTTTCTGAGTTGGAAGTGTTTGACAATAAATCCTCAATCATTTTGACCACAACTTTTTGTTCCGGATTGCTATCTACTGACCACTCAGTGCTTTACTGTCGTGATGGAAATGTAATAAGAATATTTATCAGGTATCATGCACTTGGGAGCCCTGGTGACTCAGTTATCAAGCGTGCAGGTGTTTGCCCAAAGGTTGGTGGTTCGAACCGACCAGCCTGTCTGTGGGAGAAAGCCACGGCCATCTGCCTCCCTCCATAAAGAGCAGTGTCTCAGGAACCCTGGATGGGGGGGGGGGCTTTCTCTGTTATAGGGGCTCATGGTGAGGCTGACTCAGAGGTAGGGTCATACACAGAGACCCACTGTTCTGTGTTTCCTTTGATTCCTTGTATGTGTACATGCATAGGTACTTTGAAGAAGCTTTAAACTTAGAGTCCTCAGATTGACTACGAACCAAATAGTTGGAGGTTCAAGCCCACTCAGCTGTGCCTTTGAAGAAAGGCCTGGTGATCAATTTTTGCAAAATCAGTCATTGGCATTTTATTGTTCTGCGGCGGGGAAAGGTTGGCCCTGGTTAGGGCTGTCCTGTGAGGGTCCTGACTCAGGGTTCAGAAGACAGGGTCTGATGGGCAGAACAGGAAAGAGGGGCCCCCAGGGCGGGAGCTGCGGAGCCTGGGAGATGCCTTCCATCATGGCAGTGGACCTGAATGAGCAAGACCGTGTTAGGAGTGTGTTTGCATCCAGGCCAGTCTGGCTTCGCAGGCCAAGATGCCTGCGTGCTAGTCCTTATCTCCCACCACCTGGGGCAGGATGGCCCCAAACGAACATGATTGTTTGAAATGATGCTTTCAAGAGAGTTCCAGAAAGGGAGCTTCCTGCCTATGTGAGAAATGAAGTCTCCTTAGGGCGTGAGTGCATGTGAAACCATCTGTGATTTGTATGCATGAGACTGGGGGCCATGGAACTTTTTACACAGAACTGCCATGAAAAGATTTCAATGTGTTTAGTAATTTCATTATTTACAAATAGTCATCAGATTGAAAATGTATGCCTATTAATGTTTCTATTACTATGCCCCATGAAGGAACGCTTCTTATTATAATCCCATATAGATACTGCATACGGGTTCTGGTGGGGCTGTAGTCCCAAAATGTGGCTCAAAAGGCTAGTGGTTCGAACTCACTGTCCATTCTACGGGGGAAAGATGGAGCACTCTGCTTCCAAAAAGTTCTGCAAGGCTGGGAGACCCCATGGGGGCAGTTCTACTCTTTCCTGTAGGGTTGCTGTGAGTCAGAATGCACTGGAGGGTGGTGGGTTGGAGTTGTCTTTGGATGGTACAAATTCCTAATGTACCCCGCTGCTAGATGAAAGTTTGAAGGCTTGGGGCCAGACAGGTACTTTGGAATAAAGATGTGGCAATCTACTTCCGGGAAATCAGCCATTGGAAACCTTATGGAACATGGTTAGCCTCTGATGCATGTGGGGTTGCCATGAGTTAAAACGGACCCGTTGACAACTGGGTTGATTCTCAAACCCTTAGACTGGCCCCACTTGAAGCATTTCCATCAGATACTCCCTACTTGGGGCTTGATTCTGGGCTATGGGTTTGCAAAGATGCATAGCAAAGAGCCTAGATAATGGGGTGCCTAAACACAGCCTGCACTACCTTGATGGTGCCCAGCTGCTTTTACTGCCCACTCTAACCAGAATCACAATAGAAGGCTCTGGTAGAGCGAGGGGAGAAAAGGCCAGCAAAAAAAAAAAAGCATCAAAAAATCCCATTGGATAGAGACTTGCAGAGCCCTGAGCCTGCAACCCTTAGATGCCCTTCAGTCTGGAACTGAACCCGCCTCCAAGAATCGTTTTTCAGCCAGCCAACAGACTGATGAGGTGAGTAATACCAGAGCGGAATGCACGCTGCAGTCCAGCCAATAACACGAGACAGAAAGGGCATCATTTGCTCCAAATTAAAGCTCAAAAGACAGGAAAGGAATGGAACTGGGAATCCAGGGCAGAAGTGGTGAGTAGAAAATGAATTTGCCCTGTCCCGAACTTTCACCGAAAACGCAATAAAAAGTTAAACCCAAAAAAATCCACTGAAGACCAGTACAGTATCTTATCTGACCAACTGAGAGCAAAACTGAATAGATCAAAGGCTGCTCTCCACTGGAGGATTAACAGATTCTGAATGGATGGGAAGTAATGGAAGAAGAATTGTTCAAGAAGCAGTGGGCTGCAGGAGGAAGTTCAATGTCTGTCAGGATTTACAGCCATGTGCTATTCTTCTGGACACTGGGAAACAACTACTACAGGCATGGTATTTCACCGCAGACCAACTGCAATTAAAGAATCTTAATTACAACTCTGTAGGGCAAGCAAAGGGAAACTGAAACTGTACTTCAGAGCAGAAGAGTAGTGAGTGTCAGCTGAGAGACTGCTGCTTGAACTGTAATCTTCCAAGTCTGTAGGTGTCATGACAGACTAAATACTGTTACAGAAGGAGTCCTTGAGATGAGCGAGAAACGTGGCTTACGTTAGTTGCTGACTGTTCCCTAGGCTGACTGACCCTATGTTGTGTAGGTACCTCATGTAATGGCAACGTTCTTCTGCTTCTCACAAATGGGTGTGGGGTGGAGAGGCAATGTCACCGAGATCCTGACCTTTGCAATACAGTCAAGTGAGCCAGTGCTCCCCCTGTAGGAACAGTGCAGAAATTAAGCAGGCTGTTTCTCTGTTGGAGCTAAGACTAGTGTGGTTTCTTGCTGCCAGTGAAGGAGATGCCCATCTCGGTAAGAGAAAGAGTCTCAATGGTGGGCTCACACACAGACATGGTTGTGAGGAGAGGACAGAACACGACCAAGAGACGTTTCTTTCTCTTATACCTGCAGACACTGTGCTAGTTTCATAACACACCACTTGGATTCAGATGGGGCCTTGCCACCCACACTGAGTTTAAGCTTAGGATTTTAGGTGTGGGATTTCCCCATACAGGTGTGTCATTGCTGATAAAACAAGAGGAAAACCCTCTTTCAAACCAAAGCTTGTTTAAAGGCACAGATTGACTTTCTAGGCATTAGTGAGCTGAGATGGAATGGCACTGGGCATTTTGAATCAGACCATCCTATGATCTGTTATGCCAAGAATGACAAACTGAAGAGGAACAGTCTCAAAAAATGGTATTTCAAGATCTGTCCCCAAGTGTGATGCTGTCAGTGGTAGCATAACATCCACCGGTATACAAGAAAGACCAGTTAAAGCAACTTCTATTCAAATATACATACCAACTACTACAACCAAAGATGAAAAAATATAGCATTTGTACCCACTTTTACAGTGTGAACTTTATCAAATATGCAATCCAAAGACATTATTAATAATTGGTGACTGGAATGCAAAAGTTGTAAACAAAGAACTAGTAGTTGGAAAATATGGCCTCACAGACAGAAATGAGGCCAGAGATTTCCTAAGAGGGTTTTGTACAATGATTCATTCATTGCAAATACCTGCTTTTATGAAAAGCTATTACTGGCATAGGCCTCACCTGACAAGAATAAACAGAAAGCAAATAGACTACATCAACAGTCAGACTGTCATTGGAACCGTTATTAGAAAATTGCCAATGTCCCATTAGCTATCAGAGCATCATCAGTAGAGCTATCTTTTTTCCTAGGGCTCCCTTGCTTAGAAGCACAGCAGTTAAATAGCAGCTGCTAACGGAAAGGCTGACTTTCGGCCCATCTGGCGGGTCCTGCTCCCATAGAGTAAATGAAACCTCACCTTACCGCCTTTGAGGCAGTTCCGACCTACAGTGCTCCTCCATTGGGTTTCTGAGGCTGTAAGTCTTTACAAGTGGACACTGCCCATCTTTCTCCTGCAGAGCAGCTGTTGGATTCAAACCACTAACCCTTTGGTTAGCAGACTCACACATTACTTTTTATATCACCAGGGCACATTGGGCCATACAAGTTAGAATCAACACAACTGCCCACATCCATCAACGTTTGGGCAATTTGGAATTTCGACAGAAGGAAGCCAAGGGAGAACAAATTATAGAAAACTGTTCAATATTGGAGAAGTACAGCAATGTTATAGACTGAACTGAGCACCCCACAGTAAGAATCAACTTGCCTGAACTCTGCTTCTCACTGGTGTAGCAGTTTTGCAATACCACAATCACTCCCGTGCCATGATCTGTATGTGATCAACTTGCAGGGAGATTAATGTGGGATATGCTGACATGATCCAAAGTTAGGGGAGTTTTTCTGGGGTGTGGCCTGCAGCCCCGTTTACCTTAGAAGAAATGAAATGAGAGAAGTGATCAGAGAAGGGGAAACGTGACTACCACCAAGAAAGAAGAGTGGAGTCAATCATTTATACTTGAGGTCCCTGTGCCGAGAAGCTCCTAGACCCAGGTGAAGACTGAGACCAAGAGACACGGGGATATACAGGGGATGCTGGGCTCACCGATGGTGAAAGGAGACAGAGCCTTAAGGGAGACAAAGCCTTCCCCTGGTGCTGGCACCCTGAATTCAGAGCAAAAGCCTTCTAACCTATTAGAGAATAAATTTCTGTCTTTTAAAGCTTCTCACTGCAAACCCCTTCTGTTCTAGCAGCCCTAGAAAACTAAGACAAGCACTTTTGGTCTCTGGTCACCTTGTGAGGCCCCAAGAAGTGAATCCCCCTAAGGGCTTGTGGAAAGTATGGAAGGACAAGGAGGGTGTAGGAGTCAGAAAGAAGGCATGCTGCTGCATTCCAAGCGAAAGGAATCAGAAATGTAAACACACAGATGAACCTGAGCAGTTTGAGGAATTAGATTTTATACATGGTACAAGCAGGAGAAGGTGCAGCTCAATTCAAACAGAAAAAGGAAACAGAATCCAGACCCCGATCATGACACTCAATGGAGACACAAAAAGAAACCACCTAGGAGTGAAAAGCTTAAAGTACCCCATTTAGAGAACTAGCCTATCATGCCTCCTATTGGACATGGGCCTCGGGGGATTGGGATCAGTTGCTGTCAAGTTGGCTGTGGCTCATGGGAGGGGCATTCTTTGGACATCAGGACATCATGGGGAGGGAGAGGTCCCTGGAGAGGGAGGTCATGCTTCCCATGATGCTTGTTTCCTCTGGCAGGTCACAGTGTGTCCCCTGTTATTCGCTAACATGATAATTCATTCTTAGTCACAGCTTTATTGTCCCTTCTTTGTAATGAATGTGTACAGAATGAGTGTGTATGCACCTTCTCGTGTAGCCTTTGCAGCCCCGCTTTCTGTATTATCTCATATCGAAGCAGCATCTGCCCACCACACTCTATGGTTCGTCAGCCAGCCTGTGAGCATGCGTTCCCAGGACAGGCACCTTCCACTCCGACTGGTGCTTCCCTTCTCATGTCCAGCACAGGGCAAGGTGGGGTTAACAAGGAGAACAGTTATTGTGTACCTGGCCTGGGTGGACGCCTCCCATTTTGGATCATAGTTTTCTAGAGCCATGTCTATTCATTCGAGAGCTATAGCCCCAGCTTCTAGCTCAATGCCTGGCATTTAAGAAACCAGTAGCTACTGAGTAGGTTCTCCGCCGTGTTGACTCCACATGTCCTGGAGGAGGACCCTGCTCCACAGGGTCTTTAATGGCTGATAGTTAAGACAACAACCACCTGGCCTTTTCTCAAGACTCCTCTGGGTTGACTTTGTGGTGAGCAGCACACCACTGAGCGCTGACTGAAGGACTGGATGAGGACAAAAACATGCCCCTCTGTCCTGTTCCTCTTCCTGATGTATTGTCTACACTCTGCTCTTTTCTGATGGCTGGATATTTGGTTTCACGTCTGTCAGACTTCTGGCTGGCTGGCGCTAATTGAAGCAGTGCGGAGATGAGTTGTTGAGTGCTGACGGAAGTTGGCATTTAACCACTGTTGATTCAATTTGGAATCTTTGCTACTAATTTGACAAAATTGGACTTACCCTGAGTATTGACAGGTAATGTCAGCATTTCCATGAAAAGGTAAATTGCTTCCATTAAATGGTAATTTAATTATTTTTGTAATATTTGTTTCATAACTATATAAAGATGTTCTATGGAGAGAATGATTCCTTTTCCTCCCTAAAGTGAGAGTGTCTTTGTACCATGGTGAGGGCATGTGGATTGTCAACCTAAATACTAACATTACCTCTGTTTTTAGGAATTTCAGTGTCTGATCAAGGCAGAGTCCTCAACGAGCAGGCAGGGGTTTGCAGCTCCATCATAATTTACATTTAAAAACTGGCAACAATGTGAATCACTAAGAAAAGGAAATTAAACACTTTAGGTTGTTTGATCATCTTAGCTCAAACGCTGTGCTTTGACCCTGTTGTAGAAGAGCCACTGGGGAAGACTAGAAAAGGGGTGAGTCAAGTCCAACCCCCTCTTCAGAGACGACGTCCTACTCGGCTCTTGGAAATCGGGGCTCCTTTCTACCAGGACAACCAACTGCAGGTCAAGGTCTACTGGAAGAAGACTGAAGGTGCGTAAGCCATTCTCGGGATGTTGAGGCCTCACAGTGCTGGTGAGGCCCCTGTGACAGCAGACTCCTCGGGCCATGGGACTGACATTAAATGAAGGAGTCCTCAACCAGATACTTTTTTTCTTCCACTTTGTCTCAAAGTCTGAGTAGGTTCATGTTGACTCCTGGGAATTCTTATGACATTTTAAAACCAGCAAAAGAGTTCTTGTGTACTGAGCATATGAACCTTTGTCAGCCTCACACATTGCAAAAATCTCCCACCGTGAGCCACGCGCGCCTTTTCCCCTTTCTAAATGGTCCTTACTCATCCTTTTCCAGCAAAGTCACTGAGAGACTTGACTTTCTTGTCTTCTGGAAGTTATGTCGTCATACCTCTCACTGCCTTTGACTAGTTTCCACTCGGAACTAGCTGGGCTATGGAGGGGATCAGAGTTTGGTTTTTTATTTCCTATTGATTTCAAGTGGCCCAGTATCATTTATTTAGAAATGGTCCCATCCACAAAACTCTGAGTCACCACCTCTGTCTCTATTAAATCAAATGTATACGCATATGTGTATATATAGAGAACTACAGTGGTGTAGTTTATAATGCATTGGGCTGATAACCAAAAGGTCAGCAGTTCAAATCCACCAGGAGCTCCTTTGGAGAAAAGCTACTTTGTCTCCCCTATAAGGCTTTCCAGCCTCAGAAATCCCATGGGGGTGGGGAGGGGGTGAGAAACAGGACTCCAAGTCAGAAGTGACTTGACAGCAAAGGAAGAGACTTCCTAGTGTGTCATCTGGCTTATCTTTCCACTTTGTGCAAATACCTCCCCAAGTACCCACTGTATCATTAAAAATAATCCTGGCCAACAGGACCAGAGGAAGCCCGACTACCTTGAGACGCCACAGTGCATGTGTGGCAACCCAGTGCCAGGTTTTCGAGAAGTGTGTCTTGAGAAAGATCCTATTGTACATGGTACAGTCTTTCTCAAGTTTATTCTCTTCATTTTTGTTGCAGAAACACCTACTGGGTCCAAACTGCCAACCTTTCCGTTAGGAGCCGAGCCCTAACCTCTTATGCGGCTGGTGTTCTCTGCTTGTACACGCGATATACTTTACATTTATACGAAATAGAAGAAACCCAACAATACTGTTGTTTATCAATATTGTTGCTTGTCAGTATTTATGGAAATCCAACAATACTGTTGTCTAAATATACCCTGTGAAAGCTGGAACCTCTACAAGGTGGAAACTTGGGGAGTGGGGAAGCTAAAAAATTTTTTCAGTTAAAAAAAAAGAAAATCCACAGAAAAGAAAGAGAGCATCTTGTCAAGGTAGAAAGTTTGTGAACCCCAGAGAAAGAAAACAGCCCTGTCGAGGTGCAGCTCCCCCAGACTTCCCTGTAATTATAATTACCCAAGTGGTACCATCTATATGGCACGTCTTGGGCAGCGTTCTTACGAAAGGAATTGTGCTGTCTATGAACAAGGTGTCTCACATACTTTGGGCATGTCGTCAAGAGGGATGAGTCCTTGCAAAAGAAAACCCTCAAAGAGGTGGATTGACACAGTGAAACGGAGCGAGAGGATGAGGTCGTGGATGGGGCAGGACAGGGCAGAACTCAGATCTGTGCTTCACAGGGTCGCCAAGAGGGTGGGGGGCTCGATGGCACCTAACCATCGCCACCGCCCTGTGGCCCGGCCAGCAGAGCTGTGTGCAGGCCGCTAAGCAGAAGGCCTCCCTCCCTTGGTTTCGGGAAACTTGTTCTGATGGGGCTGTGCTCATGGCCCCCAGTGGGTGTGCCGTGTCCACTCACCCTTCCTACAGATGAACACAAAGCCGTCACCTCGGCTGAGAGCTCGTCGAGAGTGATGGCTGGGAACTAGGGGGACACCTCCTAATTGAAACACAATTCCTAAGACCAGGGGAGAATCAAAGAAGGGACAAGTCAGTCAATGTTGGTGACAGTGTGGCTCAGTGGTAGAACCCTCCCTTCTCTGTGTGGGAGGCTAGGTTCAACTCCTAGCCAAGGCCTCTCCCATCAGCCACTACCTGCCTCAGTGCAGGCTGGTGTGCTGCTACTCAGCACAGGTTTCAGCAGAGCTCCCAGACCAACATAAACTAGGAAGAAAGGCCTGGCAGTCTGCTTCCCCAAATCAGCCTATCTAAAACCATCTTGATCATGGTGGCCCAAAACTTAAGTGACCATAAGGATGGGGCAGGATGAAGAAGAGTTGGTGGCTGGCTCTGTGGCAGCTCCACTAGCCACCTGGAGTTCACAATATGTCCATTTCAATTCGTAAAACATAAATAGGGAATTTGGTTTCTTTGCTACAGTCTCGACATTTTGAGTGCTTACATGTGAGTCGTAAGGCGACTCGATGGCACATAACAACAACAACAACATGGCACGTGGTTACTGCCCTATTTGTCCCTTTGGATAGCACTGGCCTCGAACACCCAGCCAGCCACAGTTACAGATCACGCTCATTGCCAACTGCTGTGAGGACACAGGAAGATTAGTGGAGGCGCCTCCCTGGTGAGCCTGCTTCCCTGCTCTTCCTAGCGGGCTGTCCAGTGAATGAATGAATGGCTCGCGTGCTCACTGACTTGTTCCTGTGCATACTGGAGGATTCTTTTGAAGAAACCCCTTGACGCCAGCGGTGTAGAAGCTAAAACTGCTCCGAAGTGTGCTCTCTTTTAACCAAAGGCTGCCTGTGCCCTCTTTATGTCTGTTGATTTTCTCCTATTTAAAATTCGTCTTTTCTGCTTCCAAAGCGCTTGAAGCAAGTTCCCACAAGATCTGCCCCATGCCATCAAAGCCTGCCCCTCCCCGCCCCCGCCAAGTGGGCCTCCATCAAACAGAACCCCTTGGATGAGAAAGATGTTCAGTGCCAGGAAAAGTGGCCAGGAGGGTGGGGGACCCTGCAGAACCCTTGCACAAAACGGAGGTGCCGTTCCTCCCTTTTAGTCTTACCCCCCACTTTACTTTCCAAACAAAGAACTGCTCCACCTCTTTATGGAAACACACTGCCCTGCCTTCCCTAGGGGCAGCTGGTGGGCTTGAACCCCCACCAGGCCACTAAGGCTACTGGAGCAAGCCAACAAACAACAAAATCCACTGTCATCAAGTTGATTCCAATTTATTGTGCCCTATTGGGCACAGAGGACAAAGGCCCTGTAGGGTCTCCAAGTCTGACGGAAGCAACCGCCACATCATTCTCCCAAAGAATGGCTGGTGGCTTAGAACTACTGACCTTTCTCCCAACGCCTACCCTACTGCGCATGTTTCAGTGGGGCCAGCTGGTGAACAAGACAATGCACACATGCAAGGGGGAGGGAAAGCTTCATCACAGCAGTATCAGTTAGGCAGGGAATTGGGCTAAATGTCCCTTTTCCAAGTTAGAGGAAGGTTGGGTCAGCCCCACTCACATTGTGGGAGGATAATCTTTTCCAACACAGTGGCTGCTCCAGTTAACAGGCCCAAGTATGTGGGATGAGGTTCTATAGAGCACTCTGACTGCACTTCTTCAGGCAGGTTATGGTATATTCAGTGTTTCTCACCAACGCCACAACTTGAAGGCATCAGTTCTTTTCTGGTCCTCCTCCTTCACCACTCTACTTTCACATGCATTTGAAGCAATTGAAAACACCATGCATTGGGCCGGGGCACCTTGTGTTTAAAGTGACATCCTTGCTCTTCAGCATTTTAAGGAGTCCTGAGCAGCAGATTTGTGGAATGAATCTGTTGCTTCATTTAATTTCCTGACTGCTGCTTCCATGGGTGTTGAATGTGAATCCAAGTCAAACAAAACCCTTGACAGCTTCAATCTCTTCTCCAGTGATCACAATGTTGTTTATCTAGGTTGTTCTCTGTGTTCATGTGTTTTGATACTGTAGATTCTGCCATCAACCGATACCACGTGCAGTGGTTTCCAGAACTATGTTCCCACAATGAAACAGCCAACTCTGAGAAGTCATCTGGCACCACACACGTAAGTATAAGATGGTGCTGTTTGACTCTTAAGTAGTTCATAGTCTCATGTTATCTCAGTAAATGATTGGTGGAAGATACAAATAGTGCCTATGGCAATGAGGGGACTAAGTCTCATGAGTTAGATGATGGATATAGATAGAAAAGAGATATATAGATGTCAGATAGATATGGTACAAATAAGATAGCAAGCTAGCTAAGACAGACAGACAGATATAGATGGACGATAAAGAAACACATGACTGATATGATACATGTAGTTGTGTCCCATTGAGTCAGAACTGACCCATAACTGACACACAGTGGGATTTCAGAGGCAGTAAACCCCATGAGAGGAGATTGCCTGCCTGTTTCCTGTGGAGCACCTGGTGGATTTGAACCCTATTCCTATGTGTTGGCAGCATAATTCCTTACCACTAAGCCACCAGAGCTCCCTGGTAATAAAATACACAGGTGACAGATCTGACATAGATTAGACAGAGAGCCGCCATTGACTCCTCACTAGTTCATGGCCGGCTTGTGTGTTATGGAGCCACACGGTGCCCTGCCCTTCACCGCCTCCGCAGTCACATTCAAGTCCATCATCACAGCTCTTGTGCTGATCCACCTCAGCCAGGGCCTCCACTCCACCAAGCATGACATCTGCTTCCAGCAGTGGACCCTCCTCATTATGGATGTGTCCAGGGCAAGGGGTGAGACAGCCTTCTACCCTATCTGCTGGGTTTTCCAGGCTTTTCTTCTAGTCTGTCTTAGTCTGGAAGCTCCACTGAAACTTCATCACGGAGGACTCCTGGTTTGTGAAATATCACAGGCCACAGTTTCCAGCATCCTGTCAACACACAGCCACTGCAGTGTCACAGCCTGACAGGTGGGGGCGCTCTTACAGTGAGCACATATTGGTCCTAACAGTCGCTTGGCATCGTATCCATTAAAACCATGGAAAGCTCACTGTTTGGGAAGACACGGTGAACCCTAAAATGCAGAGCTGAGACACTTCTCAATGACACTCCAGATCAGCAGGTGGGACACATGTGCATTTCATCGTAATGTCATAGAGCCTTTGAGTTCTTTTCCAAATGCTGTCCTGGCACAGTGGGTGAGGAATCACGTTACTGTCCTGTATTACGTTACCAGTCTCATCATCCAGTATCTCCTAGTCTCCCTGTCCCTGGCCGCTGCTGCCTCATTCCATTAATGAAAGCGGATTTTATCCCTATATGATGCACAGTGTTTTGCCCTTTAGCTGTAGGATTCATAGGTGACAGCTCTGTCGATATTATTGAGGCCACTGTTCCACATATGGGGAGGCTCTTGCACACATGTTATAGAGCAGAAGTAGTGAACAACAGAGAATAGTTATGAGGACATTGCATTCAAGAGTGTTGGTGACAGCAAGATGGATTACAGTGCAGGGAGGATAAGAAAAAACGGCGCTCTGGGCGAAGCGTGTTATGTATTGCAGTGCCAACTGAAAGGTCAGGAGTTCGAATGCAGCAGCTGTTCCATGGGAGAAAGATGGCCAACTCCTTCCATCAACATTTATAACCTTGGAGACCCAGTAAAGGGAATTGGCTTGAGGGCAGTAGAAGTGGGAGGCGTTGGGGTTTGGGGTGCGGGGAGGGTTAGGGTTAGGGTTAGGTGGTTTTCCAAAATCCTTCTGATCACATCCTTTAAGAAAAACTAGCTGCCGAGTTTGCAGAAACACTAGTTGCATTTGACTAGTTCCAACTGAAGTTGGCCTTTTTCTTTATCATTAAGTCCTTTCCAAAGCCAGAGGCCTTGAGTAAAATAAGGAAGGAGCCGTTTTAGAAGTGGACACTGTTTGAAAAGCAGAGGGAGAAAGAAAGAGGACGTGTGCTTGCTGGGCTTGGGTCCATCTGTGCCTCCCTACTGAACCAGACTGTCTTGCTCCCAGGAGAACTACATCCTCCTCCAGGATCTGGCCTTTTCCTGCAAATACAAGGTGCTACTCCAGCCTGTCCGGCCTGTGGGCCCCGCCAGCGTGGAGGCGGCTTTCTTCACCACCCCACCCTGCTCTGCGTTCAAGGGGAAAAGCCACAGGCACCCCAGCTGCCCTGGGGAGGCAGGTTCGTGTGGCTGAGGCGCCCTCGGGTAGCATGTTCGTTACTTAGCGACCTGCTTACAACCCATCCGGCTGTCATGCCATGAGATGATGAGTTAGCCTGCCAGCCTGGGCGTCGGACTGTATGACTGTGACACGGTTCTCATTCTGACATCACTGAAGTGACGCTATGTTAGCACAGGCCACTTGTGTTTCGGAGGTTTGCATTGTAAATTATTTCTTTTTCATCCCCAACTTTGTCTCCTAAGTTACCTCACAGGCTCCCCAGTCCTACCAATGAGCCCCCAGCTCTCTGCTCTCCTCATTTGTCCCTGCTACGTGCTTCCCCCCAGGGAGGACCCCAGGCCTGTGCAGTTCCCACTGGCCAGGGTCTGAATGTTCCCCGCCTCCTCCTGTCCCCAAAGAAAATCTTGAAAGGTCATTCAGGAATGTTCGAAGCACATAATACAAAGTGGTCAGACTCAGATCCCACGCCACCACCCCCCAGCACAGCAAAGGGAGCCCCCTAGTCTCCCAAGCACACAAAAGTGACATCGCCCTCCTCCTGTGGTCCAGTAAGTGCAGCAGCATGGTGGCAAAGTTGGGGATGCTTTGAAAATGACCAGAATAGGGCACCGAGGCAGGACGTGGGCATGAGCTGCTGGACAGTCACCGCAGGCAGCCCTGCTCCCCGCCAGCCTTCAGTGTGTGAAAACATAGTATTTATGCGCAGAGTAAGGGGAGAAGTAATGCGAGGTCTGCCCTCTATCTCCGACCTCAGTGAAGCCAGCCATCCCCTGTCCCCTCCCGCCCCAGGGATGGAAAGCAGCCCAGCCTGGGCCTGTTGCCCCTCCCTCCCCGTCACCCCATCTGTGCACCTGCAGGCCGAGTCAATGCCAAAGTGCTCGCCAAGCCGGAGAACCTCTCTGCGTCCTTCGTGGTCCAGGACGTCAACATCACAGGCCACTTCTCGTGGAAGATAGCACGTGCCAGCCCGCACCAGCCCCTGACTGGGTTCCAGGTGACGTGGGCGGAGGTCACGACCGAGAGCCGGCCCAACAGCCTGCCCAACAGCATCATCTCCCAGTCCCAGATCCTGCCTTCGGTAGGTGGTGCTCGCCTGCGCACGTGCTGTTACACTGTGTGCCGCGCAGAGCCCTTTGCCAACCAAAAGGTGGGCCATTTGAGCAATCCAGAGGTGCCTTGGAATAAAGGCCTGGCGATCTACTTCCTAAAAGTCAGCCACTGAAAACCCTATAGAACACAGCCCTACTCAGACACATGGGGGGTTCCATGAGTCACACAGCTGCATGACAACAATTTTGGGGTGCCATAGAGTTGAGCCTGCTTTCTACCTTTTCATGTTCTCAGAGTGTTTGCGGGTACCATGCACATCAGGACTGTTACTGTGAGTAGAACACAGACTCTCACTCTGACCCACCCAGGTCTATGAGTGATGCAAAATGAGGTGCCTGAGAAAAGTGGGCGAGGTGAGCCCTCCTGCAGTGTGAAGGAGGGAAGGCCTGGCAGTCAGAAAGATGAGAGGCAAGAACAGCCTGGGGAGCAATGGGGCTCTGTCGTGGGGATCGCTGGGAGGCAGAACTGATCAGGCAGCAAGGGCCCTGTTGACTCGGCTCCCCGAGGCATCCAGCCATTCTAACAGACTGTTGCGCACACCTTGCATCCAAGTGTCCAGCCAGCTGTCCTCTAGCTTTGTTAACCCCGTGCCCTCCCGCTCCAAATGCAGTTGGCTTGTCTGAAGTGTTAAATTAGGGGGGAAGCAAAGCTCTCAGAAAGCCTGTTCCTCATCCTTTCTTCCCTGTGGGATTTGGCTGGCGCCCTGACAGTGGCCTGTCTCCCAAGCCACTTAATTTCTTGGCTTGGGGAAAAAAAAAATCACGTGTGAGCTTTCACCCTCTCTGTAAATGCCCTTAGGCTATCCAAGTCCTGCTCCAAAATTCAAAAGCAGAGGAAGACAGGGAAAGAAAGAAGTCCCCTGTGGGCCAGGAGAGAAGGGCCCAGGGTTAGAAAGCGGCCAGTGGAACGCACACAGGACCAGGTGGCTGATCCCGTGAATCAGAGCACCAAGAATTCCCATCACAGGGTGTGTGACCTAGAACCCGAAACCCTGGGAAAGGGTGAGGGGAGTAAGAAAGCAGGGTCTCCTCGGGGGTGTGGGTTTTGAGAGGCACTCGGCTGCAGGTGGAGGCCCACCTGCAGGAGGTCCCGGCCCTCCACCCCAGGGCCTCACGTGTCGTGCACCCCTGACGAGCGCCTCATTTCCACTGTCTTGTCAGGATCACTACGTTCTGGCGGTTCCCAACCTGCGGCCGGCCACGCTGTACCGGCTGGAGGTGCAGGTGCTGACAGCAGCCGGCGAGGGGCCAGCCAGCATCCGCACCTTCCGGACCCCCGAGCTCCCATCCTCTGTTCACAGTGAGTGCGACTCGGCTGGGGTGGCAAGATGGGGGGAGTCTGCATGGCGCAGTTGGGTACGCGGTGCTCACCAGCCCGGAGGTCATAGCCATGGCCGGGCAAACCCTGAGAGTGTAATCCTATGTGGCCATGTGTGGGGTCGCTGTGAGTCCACTCAACAGCAAGCAGGTGCTACCCTGCTACCCCAAATCCATCAGCTGCTCTGTGGGAAAGGCGGACAGGCTTCCCGTGTGAGTGGCGGCCTCCGGGGTCAGGTAGGAGCCGCCCCGGCCCAGAGGCAGTGGGCTCAGTGCATAAGCAGCTCCACAATGACGCCTGTTTCCTCACTTCTCAGGAACGCATCTCAAACACCACCACCCACATCATTACCAGACACCTCCGGAGAGATACTGAGAATGGAACCGAGGCTCGCTTGTGGAGCTGTGGAGACGAGACCCATGGGTTTAGAGCAGCAGTCGGTACCCCCGGAACGCCCCCCCCTCTGTCATGTTAGTACAGAAAGTATCCCTGTCTCTCCCACGCACCACCGGGAAGATGCACGCTGACCCCTGCAAGAAGGCAGCCAATGAAGAACGGGCTTAGGGAGTGTTCAGCCTCGCCCCCTAGGAATTTCCTCCACACACGGCCTCGCCAGGCTCTGCTGAGGTCCTGCAGAACTGGGGTGCCACTGAATCGGGGAGCCCATGCTCAAAACGAATGAGCGGAACATACACAGTTGGCATGCGGATCGAGCATGGGTTTAATCAACACACTGCGTTGTGCTTTTGAGGACAATTTGAGGACATCGACTGAGCTGCTGAATCTGCTGAGCCCCACTGATCATATTATTAAAATCATTCCCAAGATGATGTTTCCCGGCCTGTGATTTTTAACTGACAATTTATCACCTGAAAAAAACACTAGTTTCCCTAAAATCACTTCCCCTGTGAGCAGCCTGTGCCCCTCGTGGTGCTGGGGTCACAAAGGGCCCATGTGAAAAGGGAGGTGCGCAAACACGCTGCTGCGTGGGCCACGCCCTGTTACCATGCCGACTAGATTTCTGCCTTGGGGAAAAGAAAAAAAAATCTTTTATTTATTTCATATTACTCAATATTTCACCCCATAATATGAGAGACTGCCTTAATATGGTTACTTATTTCTATTTTTTCTTTTTTCAAAGCAGAAAACAGCTGTGGGGTCACTTTGTCCTGGAGACTTGACCTATTTGAAAATTCACACAATCTGTTCTTGAAGGGTATAATTCCAGCTGGTGAGCTGTTTTCAGTCTTTCATGAGCTATGCCCTCTATGAGTCACAGGAAGCCATTTGTATGTTGGGATATTCTCGCTGATGTCAAAGGGGCTTTGACCGCTAGACGAGAGTTACTTGCATTTAATTAGCTTCTCCTCTTTCAGTTCTGTTATATCCTATTATTTGCAAAGTCTCTCGTGCTCCAAATGACTCCTTTATGGCATTAGGTGAGGTTAAAAACACGGTTTCATTCTGTAGTAGTATTGCAGGATCTACTGGGAAGACCTCAAACAGCAACACTTCATTCCAACTTTCTTTAGAAAATGCACGCGCACACACACACAGTGTGAAATTATCTGCCTACTTGCAGGCAGGTACTCTAATTCATACAGGCACACACACGTTCATGTGTGCACCCCGATACAAATCCCCAAGGAGATTGTTCTCACAACTTGCCAGTATCCAAGAAGTCTACTTTTTTTGTCCACTAATGTTGATTCTCTGTTAAAAGAGAAATGTATCAAAATTAAGCTATTTGAAAATGTCAAGGCTTCCTAGTTTGCATACCCATCCAAAGCCATTGGGGAAATCATTAATGGTAGACTGGAGGATTGGATTGGAGGACTTGCCTCTTGTCATTTTGGGCATTCCTCAGAGTGTGTATCTTCCTGGCCATTGTTACCAATAGCTCACAACTGCGTGACAGCAACATGTACAAAACCCTGGTGCCATCAGTGGATCTCCACTCATAGCAGAAGAACCACAGACCTGGAGGAGGGGCTTTCATTCATAAGCAGCAACCTGCTAAGAGCTATCTGTAAGACTGGCCCCTGTCTGTTAAAACACCACTAGTTGAAGATGTAGGTTTGCAGCTTCATCTGCCAGCACGCTAGTCCCGGTGGACTGGCCCATGGTGATCTCTGGAGCACTCCTGGATCCTATGCTTCCTGATTTGTCCAGAGAGGCCAGTCCCTCCTTGATGGAAAATTCTCGGAAACTTAGCCAACACCTCAAAACCTAACTTCATACTGATTTCCTCCAGCACCACTCTCAGCCTCTGAAACTTTAGTTTTAAAAAACCATCAAACGTTGAACTGGCTACTTACTGCCTAGGTGTTGCCTCCTGGACCTTGATGTCTCAGAGCCTAATTGCAGTATTTAGGCCATCAGATTTTGGTACCACTGTATGGTGAAAATGACCAGAGTACACAGATGCAAAAGATTACTATGCTTTTACATGCTTAATTTTATGAAATAGAATTCTTTTTCTTTATCTAGACAGTGGACATTGAGCAAACTATGCTTTTAGTTCAGATAAAAATTCTAAGGCTTATCCCTTCCCTAACAAATTGAAAACAAACTCTTTGGGGTATCTATTTTTGTTCTAATAAACAACAATTGAAGTTTTATTAGTGTCATAGGAGGAAGACACTCTTAATCATCTCCAATAATCATAAAATGAAAAAAGTTATTTCAATGTCCCAATAAAGCAATAAAATCTGATGGTCTTTTGAAAAAAATCTTACTTTTGTTTCTAATCCTCTGATAGATTTTATTGAAATCACATGCATTGATAGAAAACTGTTTACTGTTTAAGAGAGCTCAACAAAAAAAAAAGAAAAAAGAGAGCTCAACAAAACAATCACGTCATTAAATGAAGGTGGTAACTAGATCCACACTGCAGTTCTATGCATTATTTTTATTTGCCACACTAACTCTTTAATCATGACTTTATCTGTACAACACCTATTTCAAAAGGAGGTCTGGTGGCGTAGTGGTAAGGAATTGTGCTACCAACCCAAAGGTACGTGGTTCCAGTCCACGAGCAGCTCCATGGGAGAAGGGTGGGCAGTCTCTTCCTGTGCAATTTACTGCCTCTTGAAAACTTGCTGGAGCGTCCACCATGGATTGGTTCTGACTCAACAGTACTTACCACCACTGCCTTTTTCAGAGTGGAACTCATATAAGCAGTTCTTACTAATGAATACATGCCCACTGATGTCCTTAATGGCTTTAATATGACATATGAGACAGGGAAAGATTTCTGGAATATTATTTTCAAAATGTTTATGAAGTCAAGTCCAGAGCTGAAAGCCAGGGTCCTAAACTCGAGCATTTGGCTGCCGACACGGAGCAAGTTTCTGACCCCTGGCGCTAACGCTGTCTGCATAGCCGCTCTGCGCACTGGACAGGAGCAGCAGCTGCCCGGTCTCTACCCTCCCTCCACTAGTTGCTCCTTGTAGGGTGTAAAGTCTCCACCCACTAGATGCCAGTAGCACTCCCCCCCCAAATTGTGACAACCAAAATGGCCTACCAAAAGGGGGCAAAATCACCCATAGTTTAAACCACTGCCAAATAATTAGCTTTATGGGACAGAAATCTCTTTACAGAACACAGAACTATGTACACGTGCAAAGACCTGCGCTGTCACTTCTCTGGCCGCCATAAGTGACTTGGTCCGTGGCATGCAAGTGCCCATTCTCGTTGTGCCCCACACGTGCATCAGCCAATGCCATTTGTGGTACAAGTGCTGTTTCCCCCCGTAATACTGTTTCTTAGACTGTGCCCCCTGGTTTGTTCAAGTGTAGCCTTGCCCATTGATTCCAAGTACCTCTAAGACCGTCACTCACACTTCTGTGATAACCTGGACACAGAGGTTAAATAGCTGTTGCATGTACTTTAGACTTCATTTTGTAAAAGTAAGCGATGAAGGGATGCTTCCCTCTGGTTTGCATGGCCACTCTCCATGTGCAGAGATGGCTGCTGACGGCTGTCCTCCCTCCCCTGAATATTCTAGCCAGTTCCCCAGCTGCCAGCGTGGTTAACAGAACTCTAGATGTAACCTCCTCCTTCAATTCTGTTGTAGTGTGCACATGGCAGAACACCCACCATCTGACCCAAACTGTAGAAATCATGCTCCTTATAATGGTCATTAAGAGTCAATATTTATTTATGTATGTAATAAAAGGAAATGCTTTTGTGTGTCTGTTATGGTATTTAGCCAAAAGTAATCTTGTAAAGAGTTTTTTTTAAACAATATCACCAACAAAGTATTGTAAATAGTCTGCTATTCTGTTAGCCATTATTTTCATGTTAGAATTTGTACATACTGGTTCCATAATAAAAGATCCTTAAACCTGACTGGTGACCAGCTTACTTTCAAAAGAAACATATTTGGTTTTTCTCACTGGAGAAGTTGAGGGTTGCCCACGCCAGGGACGCTGACTAAGCATAACCCCCACCCCACCCCATGCCAGACGCGTGGACATTGAGGGCTGGAAAATGGGAACACCACAGCACTTCAACCGAATGAAAGGATGTTCGAGTGGAACACCTGGGGTCCTTTCCCTTCTACCAGTTGCATAAGACTTTTTAAAATGCAAGTGTCTACAACTCTTCCCCTTCACTGCTAAGCACCTGCAGGGGAGTCACTACATTGGGAGCCACTCCATCCCTTGGTTACAAGGTGGCCTGAGGGGGTAGCTCTGGCGGGGATGGACGAGCTCTCAGGCCAGTACTTCTCTTTGTTTCCTCGGTAGGAATTTGAGGTGGTTCCCCATTCTTCTCCCCTTCCAGCAGGCCATCGATTATGGGACTGATGAGAACTGTTGTTCAGCGACAGTCTTCTCCCCTTCCAGCAGGCCATCGATTATGGGACTGATGAGAACTGTTGTTCAGCGACAGCCAGGCTCTACCTTGTTCTCCTGGAAAAGCTGAACCCCACACCATCTCATCACAGCCAACTCCAGGCCCCTCCACGGGGTTTCCAAGGCCGAACTTCTTTTGGGGAGGCTGCCCACCTTTCTTCCTTAGAGTAGCTGGTAGCTTCGAACAACTGACCTTCTACCTAGCAGTCCAGCATGTTAGGCATTCTGCCACCAGAGCTGCTTAGTTCTTCTGAAAAGATCTGCAATTTTCAGGTGTGAAACCCCCCTCCCACCCCCAGCACCCAGCAGAGAAGCCCTGGATATGCACAGAGCCAGCGGGCGATCGTCACGTCATGTCACTTCACATCACATCACATCACATCACACACCACCTGCTCTGCTGATGCTTTACAGCCCGTTGTAGACAGATAATGGACAGAAGGCGAGTCAGGTGAATCAACTGGAAGGTTTGAACGGCCAGCCTTCTGTTTGGCAGCCAAATGTCAAAACCGTAAA